AGAAAGATCTGAAGACGACCACGTTCTGTCACCTGCGTTAAGAACATTCCACGACGAGTTGATTATAGCGTCCTCAATTTTCCGTCCCTCACAATTACTGCGGGTGGGAGAGCTGCTCCAAAGAGAACTCTTACCATTAAAGTCTCCACAGATAAGAGCAGGTTTGTACTTTGGGCACAGGTGAAAAAACGATGACCAGAAGTTACTATCGGTGTAGTTGGTCGACCACCTAGGTGGGCTATAAATAGAGAAGACGTACAACAATTGATTGTTAGGAAGAAATAGCTTGGTAGCAACAAATTCCACCATATTCCTTCGGCAAAGATCGGCAATGTCATCATCAGTAATTATACAGAACTTAATATGCTTGGCTATTGACAACTACAAGAGCAACGCCTCCACCATGCCGGTTACGGTTTACGGAGACGATCTCATGATTAGGAAAAATAAGCATGGAGTTGGAATCCAAGTATGTTTCGCAGAGGGCAGCAAGATGAATGCGGCTCTCTTGTAAGAGATGCTTGACAGTGTCTAGTCGTCGGATTAATGAGCGACTTTACGTAAAGATAAGTTTATCGTCGGCAAGAGAGCCGGAAGGAAAGAGTTACAATACAATGTTTTCCACAATGATTTTTATAATCATTGTGATAACTTCATCTAAGTTACTATCATTCAAGTCAATTTTGAACTTGTTGTGTAAGATGTTTCGAGCTTTAGGGAGAAGACCTCTAATTGTTGTGGGTGAAAGATACTCTGCTGGGTAGCAGTAGAGTTGCTTCGCAGACTTGCACCACTCCTGGTTCTGGGTATGGGTTTTGTAGTAGGGGGTTCTGGAGTTCCTCCACCAACGCTGCACGGAAGACTAACAGCGTCAGCACGGTTCTCCTCAGGAGAAGAAGAGCCTGCCACTTCCTGTCCCGAAAGTGGAGGTAACCTGGTAGGGTTACGATTTCTAGTTCTACTAGGTGGTCGGGGAGCAGCAGTAAACCTGAAAAGGTCCTGAGGAATGAACTCGCCAAACGTGGGAGGCGGGACCTCAGGGAGGGTTTGCCAAGCTCCACGAGAAGAGCCACCACCCTGATTATGAACAGTAGCAGCTTCCTTGAAGGAAAGGTCCTTTACCGCCATAATCTTATGAATACTTTTTTGTCTTAAAAAGGCCGGGCATTTAGGATCAGATGCCTAGTGTTTAAAATCTTTAATCTTTAATCTGATGCAATTAATGCATTCATACACGTCGCTCAAGCATTCCGGCTTGGAATGACCGGACCTGCCACACCGTTCACAGTAGTTTTTGCCACTAGATGACTGTTTACACGTGGAGGCTACATGTCCAAACCTCTGACAGTAGCTACAACGTTTGACTTTATAAATATAGGGATGTAAGAACACTCTCTTTCCCATATAAATGCACGAGGACGGGACGTACCTGGTTCTGAAGCGCAGTAGATAACTGTTTGTATTAACGAGTGTCGAAGAAGAGCTGTCTTCGTTATACACCCTGCGCTGCAGTCTAACTGCTTCGAAAGGGGGAGTCCAGGAGCTACCCCACCCCGGAGGGGGACGGATGTTCGAGAGAACTTCTTCCACTGTGTCGTCATCATCTACACCACGAAGGATGTATTGCTTGACCACCCGAAAGCTCGGGACAAAAGAGATCCACTCTCCCGTAGGGGTGATCTTGTCACTAACAGTAGGGAAGACCTCTACGAACCTGTTAGCTGCACCACCTGTAGGAAAGACCACAGAGAACTTGTTTTTACCTATAGACTTAAGATCAAAGGCATCTTGGAACGCATCATAGACAAGAACATTAAGTCTTTTCCTGATGCCTAGTACACTAATAGCACTAGAAGATAGACCATCAGAACTAGTACCGGCACCCGTAGAAAAAATCTCAATGTGAACAAGGAAGGGACCCGTTGAGTCCTTTTCGTACTTGTTAAGAAGCAAAGCTGCTTGAGTACTCGTCAACGACGAGAAAACTCTCTTACGTGGAAGTTCTTTACCACTAATCGGACGTTTTTTTACCTTTTTCACGTTAGAACCCGAAGTACCGGAAGGATCTTTGATCTCCCGCGAACTACCGCACTCAGTTTTACTTTTTGTGGTTTGCCCCAGGAGTTGTTCCTCCCGCAGTAGGGGCGGATCCTCCGGGGCAATGTCCATATCAAAATCAGTATCCATCAGGCTAAAAAGAACAACAAAGTGTCGAGCAACAAGTAGCGAGACTCAGCAAGATGGCGGCTGGGCGCCGGGGCTGCCCCGCAAACAGGTTACGACAGACAAAATTAAGACTAACGGGTCTGAGCGTATAAAAGGAAACAAATCAGAAAAAGCTCACTCGATTGAAGTGAAGGCCAAGCGAACACTCAGCAAAACAAGGCGTAACACGCGCAGGAAACACAGGAACACCGGGAGGGATCACTTTAGTAGCGACTCACTCGCGATCTCAGCACAGAATCTCCGATCGTAGTCATACCATCTTGAGCACGAGCCCGACATAGATGGGCACGCCCACTGTGAAAGACGGCCGTGTATCGCGTGTTAATAGGTAAAAACCATATATGTAATACTCCTATATTGCTAGTACGGTGCCGACCTGAAGCTCACCGTTACGGTGCAGACAATATAGGCTGCTTTCCTTTTAGGAGACACAGTCGACACAAGAGTCATTCTGTCTTTGTTTCTCACTGAATACTGAACGAAGACAAAATGACTTTTGTGTCGACTGTGTCTCCTAAAGGGAAAGCAGCCATAGTAGCCTCTCTCTCCAGCTGCTTTGTGCGCATGCGATGAACATTCAAGCACGCTTGCGCATTTCTCTTTCTCTCACTTTCTAATGCTTTGTCTCGCTCGCACTCACTTGGTAGATGCGCCTGCGCATAATGACGCTTGACTATCTATGCCCATATTTGGACTTCGTGCGTCTCCCTTTCTCGGGCCTCGTGCCTCTCATTGCGAAGATACGCGACTAGCAATATAGGAGTATTACATATATGGTAAAAACTGCACATCCCCCCCCCTCACATTCGTTCTGAGAATGTATATCGATAGACTGGCGTTTGCTCCTCTCTCGCAGGGGCGNGAGCCATATAAGCAAAGAAGAAGAAGAAGGATTGTGCAGTACTACTACCACGCGGTACACGGCCGTCTTTCACAGTGAGCGTGCCCATCTGTGTCAGGCTCGTGCTCAGGGTAATGTGACTGTGACCGCCTTGTGGGAAAGGGATTAATTCGAGGGGGATTATACTCGAATTAATTATTGGAGGTTCGATTTAGTTCGCCGATCAACTGATAAACTTGGTTCAAGGAGACTGGCCCGGAAAAAAATCCTTAGGTGGTAAGCGGATTCGAACTCGAGACTAGAC